AGGAAGTGGATGTAGCTTCCCTAATAGGGGACATGATGCAAGCTTTCGTACTTTTACAAAAGAACTTCGCCATGCTTGCAAATACAAACATGACCCATACGGACGAGTTATAAATTTAAATAACAATAAATTTTCATTCAACACATTCAGGTTATTAAATAAAAAAAAAAACCTAAGCTTTTGCCCTAGTCCACCAAGGTTTGATAAAGACACCTTGGCAAAGGACCTGAAATCCTTCTTCAAAAGAATACGGCTACAACCCCACTACAGGGACAACGATCACACACCTTCCATACTTGATACATTAACAGAGAAGGACTCTACATTCACCCCACAAAACACAGACATTACTATACAGACACTTGAAATGACAGTAGCAAGTGATAAAAGGAAAACAATAGCACGTAAGCTGCCATGTGACAATATTACTGAAAGGGAACGTATAGCTCTTGACACGCTGACACATAGAGATGACCTAATCATAACACAGGCTGACAAAGGGGGTGCCACATTGATTTGGGGAATCAAAGAATACATGTAAGAGGCCAACAATAAGCTAGCCAACAAAGAAACCTACAAAAGCTTACCTACAGATCCTCTTCCCGAATACCAAAAAAAAAAATTAACTAGCTCACTAAACATGATGCTTTGCAAGAATATAATCGACAAGAAAACATGCACAACGCTTACACCCATAAACATTACACCTGCTCACTTCTATCACCTTCCCAAAATACACAAAAACAACCCTGGAAGGCCGGTCATTTCATCATTCAACTGCCACACGACCAAAATTTCCAAATACGCAAACCATTACATACAACCCCTAGATAAGGAAGTAAAATCCGACATCAGTGACACAAAAGATCTACTAAACAAAATCACATAGAAACAGTGCCAAAAATTTGAGGAGACCCATATCTATCCCGTCATCGGTAGCGACTGCGTATTCTATGCAAGATATATTGATGATATATTCTTTGTATACACGGGCAGGGATGACAAACTTATCCAATTCCTTATGACCCTAAACACAGTACACGACTCAATTAAGTTTGACAATGAAAATTCTACAAGATCGGTAACATTTTTAGACACCTGCATTTACATAGATGACAGCAGAAAACTACAAACGACACTACACACTAAAATCACCTACACCCACAACTATCTACACTTTAACTCTTCCCACCCTGAACACCTCAAAGAGAACCTTCCCTAATCACAAGCACTTAGACTCAGAAGGATATGTTCCAACAATGAAGAACTAAATAAACACACACAAAATCTGGAGCATCAATTCACAACACTTGGCTATAAACAACACCTAATCAGGGAACAAATAAATAAAGCAACTTTTATCACTTAGAGAAGACACCCTAATGTACAAGATTAAAAATAAACCCAGCTGCTCTAGTAACCACTTTCGACCTCACTCTGCCTATCCCAAATAATCAAAAGTCACTTGGAAATACTACATCTCAAACCAGACCTAAAAAAATTGTTTGAGGAACCCCGGCCTTCTAGCATATTGTAGACCTAAGAACCTAAAAGAAATCATAGGTAGTAACCACATTTCAGGGGACAAGGTAATCCATAATAAACCAAAAACAAAAACAAGAGGATTTTCCCAACCATGTAACAACAAAAGGAGCTTATGCTGCAACCACATTAGACACATGAATTCATTCACTAGTTCAGTCACTAAATCTACTTTCAAAATCTACCACGACTCCAACTATAGAAGTCATAACATAATTTACCTAATAGAATGCATACTATACCAGAAACAATATGTAGGAAAATCTGAATGGCCCCTTCACTACTGAATTAATAATTATCGCAATCGAATTAAGTCGGCTCCCCATGAAAGATTATTACCTATAGAACAACATTTCCGTCTACAAAAACACAATCTTAAACCCAGGCCAAATTCACAATAATTGAGAAAATATAAAAGTTCAGAGTATATAACATTAGAAAGATTCTAGGACATGAAAATAAGTGGATTCAGAGCCTAAAAACACTCCACCCAGACGGGCTTAATCACAAATTTAACAACATAGGAACCAATAAAACTGTCAAAATGATTAAGGGAATTCAGAGAAGCATGAATCCATCCTATCCATCCATCTTATCATTTACCTGCAGTCTGATGTTTGGCTAATTTATGTAAGAAGAGATAATTTTAATAAAAGTTACATGACGAATACAACGTAAATGCCTTATTTGAGATAATTTTTAAGCACACAGTAATCTCAAAAATTAAAATATTTGCAACATTCTAATATTGTATTGAATTTCAGGTGCTTTACCTTTATGATCTTACTCACAAAGGCGGATTTTGAGGAATTGTTAGAAAATGATCATTACATTTTAAACTTACTACAGCTGGCGCTCTTATTTTATAACAATGTCGTGTATGGATGTCCATATTTATAAAAATCGGCACGTTTATACTGACATAAAGAAATTCGAAATTATTTTATAGATATCGGGATCTTTGAATTGTAGTGAGCTTTTCCGTTTATGGTTAGTAAATACAGTCGTAATTTAACAATATCACTTGACCGTTACTAATGAATACATGAATAAATGAATTCTTAAGAAAATTATTTCCTGTGGTAAGATAACGCGGTTACCTCCCCTGTCTTATGATCAGTTTAAATAAGTCACGTCGTCTTAACCAAAACGGCAAGGCTTTTCAGTTACATTCAATAAAGGCTTATTAAGTCGAACTTTTCATTACAGGTCCATAATATCTTTTATACATAAACTTAACTACAAGATTTTCTAATTAAATAACTTCTTACTTTTATTGCTTTTTTTATTTTACAATTAAGAGCAGATTTTCTGCAACTGGAGTCCTGTATGAACAAAAAAGATTTGATAATTTAATATGTTATAAATAATTGATATAAACTTTAAGAGCTACAAAAAAGAATTTCTCGAAATTTCATAAAATTAATGTCGGACGTAAAAGAAATATTTTTCAAATATTTTCTCAAAAAAACATAATTTCACTCCTTTAAAATTCAACACTTATCTGATTTTTTGCAAGATGCGTTTTGCACAACAATAAGAGGCTGAAATTTCCTATACTAATTTCTGGTCAGCCGCTGACGGAAGAGAAAACAAAATTGTTAACCAAAATTTCGGAGATTCTGAAAAGGACCAAAAAATATAATTTAATAATAATAAAATCCTTAATAATAACATAAATCTTTCGACGCTAAAACTTTTTTTTTATGTTTGGAGCATTTTTCATCATGTATATTTATTTAGCGAATCTTTTGATGCGCGCGCACACACACACACACACACACACACACACATATATATATATATGTGGGAGTGTGCCTCGCCGACTTACTGAAATTAGCTATAAGTGAATAAGTATCAGAAATTCTTTTAATTCGTTTTTGGTAAAGAAACATTCAAACCCCTTTTTCTCTCTCGTTCTTTCGTCCTCTCCCTCCTTTTCAGTCTATCCCTCGATCTCTCTCTCTCTATATATATATATATAAGTGTGTCTGCAAAGAGAGATAAATAAGAGAGATGAAGATTGAATGGACAGATTGGTGTGCTCTAATTTTTTTTAATAGTCTTGAGAGAATTATCGTAGCATAAATTTCCGGTACCTTGCTTCTTTTGTCTTGTGTAGCACTTTGGTAACTTTGGTGAAGTGAGGAATTAAAGCTGTGAAAGTTTCATTAGAAATTTCCTGCAAGCGGAATTCGGCGTGAATTACCAAAGTGAATATCGGAAGTGAATTTTACGTTAGCAAAACAGAAAATTTTGGGAAAAACCTATGTAGGATTGTTTCGAAAAAAAGTATGAAAAAGAAAAAGATTAAATAAAATACTGAAGGAAATATATTGGATTGAAACGTCATAAATCATATTCAAGATGCTTCAATGAAAATATATGGAAAGAAATGGGGTAAGGCCTTAAATAATTTAACAGTTATATTAAAAAGGAATAATAATAAACAAATTTATTAAACACATATGTATTGTTGAAGAAAGGTCTTTGACATGATTCGGTTTCTAACTTCGGACTACAGTGACCAAACATAGAATGAATCTTTATTCACTTATTTAGTCGGTTCAGAACTTTAGACTTGTATAATATATATATAGGAAAACAAGAACAATACTGTGGTAAATAGGGATGAATAGAAAGAAAGAAAGGAAGAAAGAAAAGTGAAGAAGAACACCAAAATATTAATTGTAAGAAATGAAATGAGTATATGGAAAAATAAAATAGCAGTAAAAATGAAAGCAAACTAAAAAAAAAAATTGGTGGTTAATGAGACCTTGAGAGTAAAACAAAAAAAAAGTAAAGCATCTAGATTGATTGATTGATTGATTTTTTAAACTTTATTAAACTAGTATGGTTTATTTAAAGCCAGAAAATATTTTTAGATTTTAAAAATTCATTTGGCGATAAAAATAATTTAGTGATACAAATCCTACCAATTAATCCATAGCTGGGAGGAGAATAGGTAGAGACTTATCATAGCATGGATTTCTGGTATCTTTATTCTTTTTCTTGTGCCGCAATTTGGTAACTTTCGTGAAGTGGCATTTTAGTCACGGATAGCGGCTCGGATTAAGGAATCGGAGAGCCAAGTTCGAATTCCAGTCGAATCCATTACATTCACTTGGGAAAGTTATGAATCCTCTTCTTCTCAATAGCAGCAGTCCTATAGTCTTGGATGGCAACTGGTCTACCGCAGAAAGAAATGGCAACCTATCGAAAGATACATGGTCGCCTAAGCATGTATCATGCATGGCACATATCTGACTGACTGGTGAAGTGGAGAATTAAAGTTGCGAAAGATTCATTCGAAATTTCCTGGAAGCGGAAGTCAGCGCGAATTACCGAGGCAAATATTTTTCTCAAGGGTAATTACGCGTAAGTAAATATGACGAACGGCTTTCAGTTTTCCACCTCTCAGTCGTTCTCCATTAAATCATCCGCACATCTAATCTTACTGCTATTCGCAAGCAGTTACCCAGCGAGGTACTGACTAAACTCGAGACTGCTTAACTTCGGTGATCGTACGAGAACCAGAGTTTCAACATGGTGAGGAATATAGAAATTAACTAAACAATTGAGGGGTCAAAATGAAGACGTATGGAATGAAAGAAAGAAGGAAGGAAAGAAAAATACATAAAAAAGAAAAAGAGACAAGAGTAAGAAATTAGGAATAAAGGAGAGAAAAGAAAAACAGAAAAATGAAAAGTAAAATGTAATGAAAGAAATTTGAAATTGGTTTAAAAATGTAAATGTAGAGAAGCAAATAGAGAAAGTGAAAATGACAATTGAAATTAAATAAAGGGAGGGAGAAAGAAATACATGAACAAATAGATAAAATTACAATCGCCATTTGTTACGAGATGACTGGTGTAAAAAAAAAAAGCAGTCTCTTAAATGATAATAATTTTCAATTTTAATAAAATGGGATCTTCTTTTTTGACAGACAAGGTGCTAAGATTAAGCTTTTTTTTAAAAAAATGTTCTCATGTTCAAATAAGTGTTTTATTTTTTGGACACAGAGTGTGTAGAAACTGTTCAAATGTTTTATAATTCCGAGAGCTTTCAGCTATACTTTTAGCCATTATCAAAGATGATTTTATTTTTTCAGTTTAATTGAGGGTGTGCGTTGTGCGTATGTTTTTTAGTGTTATAGAGATATTTTATTTTCGAAACAGAGCACATTGTGGCGCCATGTTCGTAGTTAGTATTATTAAGTGTTAGCTTTTTCTTTTTATTATTAAGGCTTTCATTATTTTTAATCTTTTTTACAGGTGGATGATGTTGTTATGTTTGCATTTTCTACAAGTATGTTTCAGATGGAGTCTGGTAAGTTTGTGTGTGTGTTTAAATGAGATCTAACAGAGCTTTTTAATGAGACACGCATATATATATATTAACTTATACATACACACACATATATATATATAAGTTAAGAGACATTTTAAGGTACGCTATTACAATATCAAGGATAAAGCGTATGTGATCATAAAATATAAATTTAAAATCTAAAAGTGGACACTGAGATCAACATCAAACGACGACACACTGTTTCATGCTTGAACTCAATCTGATGGCCTCAAGATTAGGTTCAGACAAGAAACAGACAGATGCTACCTAATGTTGACCACAGTGTCCATCCTTTTATATATGTATATATATATATATAGCTAAAGAGATAACCATGTTGATTAAAGAAGGAATGAGGACGAATAGCGTTTCAATGTTGATAGCACACAAGTTTTGAAATATTATTGATAATAGATTAATCACTTCCGCCCTGTATACTGAATGAATAAAAGAGGCACATGAGAATGTTAATGAGTTTGAGTTGGTGCAGGATATTTAAATCGGGAAATCTACGACGACGGATTTTGGTGATGGTATGATCGTGTAAATATTTAGATAATCATCCCTGGATCCCGTGGGCTCTGTGGGATGGGTCAGTGTTCTAGGTGAACACGTATGGACACTCTCTATCCAAGACTTGACTAATCTGTCCAATATCTCGATGTAGACGGTTTTATTGACCTGAAACCATGAGGTAAGGAGTGTGTAGGTAGGAAAATGTCTCTCGTTGTCCACGAACCCAAGTAGTAACGGAGACGTAGCGAACTTGGTGGGCATCACCAATGAGATCCGTGTATAGCCCCCACCGCCTGCTATTCGTCTTGTAGACCTGTTCAGGTTATTGAAGTTAACTAGCTTTGGGTCTTTGTTGTTGACGTCTAATACGACAAGCTTGGCGTGTCTTTTCATTTTCTTTATCAGATTTGAAACTGTCCGGTTAATACTCACGATATATCTGAAAGAGAAAACAGGACGCTAAATTTTGGTACATTATTTTATCTTATGTTGTCTTTATGTTATTTTATGTTATGTTATCTTTATGTTTTCAAATACAAGGAGACATACATACATACATACATATAAATAAAATTACACATACACACATACATGCATACATATATATGTGTCGGTGTGTTTGCTTGTGTGCCTTTATGTGTACATATGCATTTCTTCCTGTACAATTATAGGCATTGATACCTGCAGCATTCTTTTTTTTAGCCAAGGAGGTGGCTCAGGCATATTTTTTTTATTTACAGGTATGCTGAAAATGGTTGTACGCGTGATATAGACAATATTTTATGTACTACTTAGCGAAAGTTTGCTCGATTTCCTAGGGCCAAATGGACTCTTCTAATTTTTAACTGTGTCTCAAGAAAACGAACTGGATAGGTTGACCAATTTATCATGTGCGTTTCCGAAATATCAGAAAAAGGTTGATTTCCCCTACTTTTGTAAATACTGCCTGGAGCAAGGAAATAATTAATAAAAACACCGCGAAATAATAATAATAATAAGAAGAAGAAGAAGTAGAAGAAGAAAAGAAGTAAAATAAGAGAGGGTGAGAGAGAAAATGAAAGAAAGAGAGAGAGTAATGAAGTAGCGAGGAGATATACTTATCTTCAGTATAAGCCAACAATTCGTATTTGTGCGAATACTCAACATATGAAACAAATAATACAAGATTTTTCAGAAACAAATAATGAACATGGATAAGAAGGGGCATTAAAAGTGAGAAACGGAACCATTCATCATTGCAAACCAACACAAATGGCAGTAGAACAAAGCACCTCAAAAAGAATATGTGTAAAATCCCTCAAACATTAAATTCTCTCTCCCAAATCAGTGAATAATGTATCAAATTGTCTTCAAAAGAATACATAGTCAAAGAAGATTATTAATTCATTGTTAGCCGTGTAAAGGACTTGGGTTCAGTCAGGTAGGCAAATGACATCAACACAATCAAGAGAATGTACTGATAAACAAAAATTTTAAAGTTAATATTAGATTTCAGCACCCACATTTACCATCTAGTTTAAGCAAGACCGAATATAGTAACTGTAAATAATTAATAAAGAACCTGTCTTATAATAAACATATCTGCCAGCAGACCACAGAACGAAGTTGCTCTTGGAGGTAAAACATTAAAATCATGTTTAAATGTGCTAGAATTTTGAAAAGGAGTTACAGTGTAACCCGGATATAAGAGAGTTGTCGGTACCGGAGAAGAAGTCTCTTATATCCGGGTTTCTCTTATATCCGGGTTTGGTCTATTTTATATACATTAACACAGGCTCTAATTTGGGACCAGAGAAAATCTCACTTATATCCGGGTTTCTCTTATATCCGGGTTACACTGTATAACTATCCAAACTATGGTATTGCTGGTGTCTGCGTGTATACTATGTAGAGTGCTATAGATTTAAGACCTCCTATATTTAGTCTTCAGGCATTTCAGGAGAAAATACAAATGCCCGAATAATAATAATAATAATAATAATAATAATAATAATAATCCTTTTCTGATGCAAATGACGACATTTATTAAAACCTAAAAAGGACAGAAAATCGTGGAGGGCCATGTGACGCTAATCACAGGCGGTGCGATATTTGAAAAGCTGTTCTTCTTTTCCCTTTGATTTTTGGATCGGCAACGCACGTTTTATTTACCAGGAGTCAAAATATGATATTCAGTACCACAAATTTTCTTATCAGCTGCTTGATCTTAACTAGGAGTTTATGCTCTGTACATCTCTCTTCATGAGAGGGACTAGTGGCTGGGTGTCAAGAAGGTAGTTTTGTTTTTTATCTGAGTCAGCGAAGGCAGTTTTGTTTTTTATCTGAGTCAGCGAAGGCGAAACTAGATACTTTGGAACGAACTCAATCTGAGCCAACTGGCTCAGCCAATCTGAACTGACTATACCTGCAAGCTTAAGCGTTGCTTTTACGAAAACCTGTCACCATATCACGCACTTTTGTTTGTAAAGCATTTGACTGGCAAGCTATACTGAAATATTGAATGCCATAATCGGTACATTTGGCTTTGTATAATTTTACTTCAGCGTCACTTGACGTGTTCTCTCTCTCTCTCTCTGTCACGTGTATGACAAAAGAAATAAAATAAAGAGAAGTAAAGGAAACGACAGAAGACCAGCTATGATTTATAGTAAACAAAGGCTTTATTATAATTTTAGTGAGTGTGGTCAGTGATTAAAATATATATATATAAAGGCCTACAGGCAAGAAGTTACAAATACTTCAAAATAGCTTCGGTTGGAAGTTTCTGGGGGGTTATGGTATAGTTTACATGTCAGATAAGCGAATAATAGCAAACGTAGTGCTCGGGAGCAGATTTCAACAATAACTGACTTCACCAACCAACTCGCTTAATTTTGGCTCTAACCAACGAATAACTGGATAAAAGACCTCGACTTTATAAGGTCACACGACGACATCAGAGGGTTCTTGAATTCATTTATCTCAATGACCCAGATTTTGGTGACGTTTCATTCATAGAAATAGAGAAAAAGAAAATAATATACTTACTGAAGTTAAATGGAAAATTAAAAAACAGTACCCCCATATAATATTACCAAAAGGAATTGTAACTCTCTTTAGAAGAAATATTAACAATATTAAATTTTAATAACCAAATTAAATTATTAAATACAAAGAATGAGATAATGGGTCGATGCCGGCATATTAACAAATATTTACTTTGTTACTTTAATAATTATATAACATAATGCAACAAATATAACATAAAATATTAGAACTTAATTAATAACATAACATAACAATTTCAATACAAACCATACGTAGAAAAAATAATAATTGAAAAAAATTATAATTTGGAAGAAAAATTTACAATTGGGAAAAAAAAAATTAAAAATTTGTAAAAATATAAAATTCATGAACGTGAGTGTGTAAAAAACGTAAAACTAATGAACTTGCGCGTGTACATAACAGATTAAAAAAAGACGCGAGAAAATTGTAAATAAACTTAGTCAAAGAACAGTGTCCTTGAAGAATGGACAATTCCAATAAAAATGAATGTCGGGGAACAACAACAAAAATTGATATTTACAGTTAAGTAACTTTATCATATTATATACATACACACACACACACACACACACACACACACACATATATATATATATATATATATATATACACTGCGTGCCAAATTATTAGCG